TATGGCAGTCTATTGTCTTCTAAACACGAATTATGGTATTAGTCTTTAGATTTAAATACTATGACCCATTCTTTGCTTATAAAAGGGTATGAACTATGGTTCGTCTTTTTATACCTTATCTAATTTAACCTTCCCATTGTACTGGCAAACAGACTAAAAGACTGAATCTTAAAAAGGTGATCAGTTACCCAAAGCCAGCAGCTGAAATTTAATTGTGTTAGACTCCAAAATTTTCTACACTGCTTTCTGATTTTTATTGTCTTTGGAATGTCTAGGGACACATCAAACTAACAGACCTTTTTTCAAAGATGAACTGATAGTGTGATAATTCTGTGACAGGTGAATAATGGTTTCCAAAGAAATCCACATCCTAATCCCTGGAGCCTGTAAATGTTACCTCTGTGGGACTTGTGGCAGGAAGATAATCCCAGATTATCTGGGTGACCTTGATGCCAATAAAAGGGCCCGAATAAAAAGGTTAGACAGGAAGAAGGTGATGTCATCACAAGGTCACTCTTGATTGATAAGTTTTGAAAATGGGAATGGGTCTGTCAGTCAAACAATACAGGCAGCTACTAAAAGCTGAAAAAGTCCAGGGAGTGTATTTTCCTTTGATTGTAGTTTAATAAGGCCCATTTTAGGCTTCTGACTTCTGGAATTGTAAGAGAATAAATGTGTTTTCTTAAGCCACCACATTTGAGGTAGTTTGTTATAGCAGCAATAGGAAACTCAAACAAGTACCTGTAAAATAATAAATCCTAGCTGCATGTAACCATGGAGCGTGTCAGAGGTCAGCCTTGCCCAAAACCTTGTCTGGAGAACAATTGCCAGTGCCTCTCACGCTCCTTCTCATCTAAGCTCTCCATGTGGTTTTGTCTTCTGCTTATAGAGAAAGGAATTGCTTTGGGGAAACTGAAAGAATACATCTTATATTACATTTTGGTCAAAGTTTGGAAATTCTTTATCTGTGCATGTCATCACTCGGCGGGGCTCTATTGTCCTTGTCTTACAGAAATTTGGTCAGCTTCATAAATTTCTCTAGCATCTAAGCCAAAAGGCACCTCACGCTGACCATCTCCAGGACACAGTCCATCAAACTGACACTTTCCGTGTGGATCACAACAGGGCTCTCATGCTATTTGACAATGTCCTTTCAAACAGAGAACACGAAAGGAGGGCCAGAGCATTCCAGTCTGAGGGATTGATAGCACAATCAGTGTTGGGATGACACCAGGCCATCGTAAATGCTTAGACCCTGCAGCTCTTTTAAAATTGAGAAGGCATAAGTCTCCAAAGGAAGAATCGCCAAATGTTTGAATTTACCATTTCTTGAAAAGAGAGAGTAGGAATGCCATAGTGCTGTAGGCATTGCTTTTAAAACCTTATTGTTGTTAAATTATAAATTATTGTCATGCTACTTAGCATTCTTGAGTTTTAATTTCGTCATTTTAATTTCATCATTTTTCATCATTACTCATTTTGTATGATAAATTTAAATTTTAGCCAAGTACATATGTTGCTTTAAAGTTTTTCTGGAAAATATGAATCATATAATAATGAATATAGTAAGCCTTCACAGCATCATCAATAAGTTCATGGAAACTGTGACTTTAAGCAAAAAATCATACAGTGGGTTCTCAAATAATATCTTGTTCAAGGTCATTTTATTATAACATCGATGAGAAAAAATGGTTTTGTGATTTGTCATTTTGCTAAAAGTCATAGTTTGTTGAACTTATTAATGGTGTTATGTGAGGACTTGCTGTGTATTTAAACTATAATTTGGAATTTCTATTTCTCAAACTCAGTGGAATATTAGAAATATTCTTAAAAATTTTCTTTCACAAAAACCCAGGGTAATCTTCTGTCCTAGGTGTTAGCAAGGACTTGCTAAGGGGAGTTTTACGATTTATTTTTCCATCTAGCATGATGATTAAAACTCAAAATAACAAGGGTAAAGTCTGCCATAAGAGCCCAAACCTTTGACTGCAGTGATCAATATCACATCGCTTTGTAAAATGTAGCCTTTATTGGCTCTTTCTGTTAATTGGACAACTGACATTTTCTCATATTCACAGAGCCTCCTGGACTGTGTACCCCCAATTAGGGTGAGCAGCCACTAGATGATGCTCATAACATTCTTATTGTCTTACCTTTCACCTGTCACATGCAAGTTTCCAGAATTCTCAAACACGTCCTTGATACTCGGTACTGTATTATAATGGATCATATTCCTCACTGATCTGGAAGATTACTGAGGTCTAAAGCTCTGCTCTTATTCTGCTTCCTCCTCCAACACACACATGCACACACATTTGTGCCTATGTGTGTTGGCACACTCATGTCCCCTCACACACGTGCACAGCCTTTTATGAGAGAAGGAAGGGAAGGAAAATTTTAAAAGGATGGATGAAGATCATTATCAAGAATGTCTTTGTCATCAAATTCCATTTAGAATAAGATTCACAAGAAAATCTCTCAATGAACAATTCTTGAATTGAGCTATTTTTACTGTTTCTGATTTCATTCCCTCTAAGCGCGCTAGCTCTCATCTTAAGCAGGGGTAGCAATATGTATCTTATTGAATTGATTTGAGAATCACACGATGAAACACCATGCACACCCCACCACACTTACTTCTCCTGCTCTGGCTACTCTTAGGGCCAGCCATTGCCAGCTTGCTACCTGCCAGACCATCGCTTTATATATAACTGCTTTTACTACCTGCAACAATCCTATACTATGAGGGAGGACACCCAAAAATGGAATTTATTTATTAAAGATTGCATATTTATTCTTACATGTTTAAACTTCAGTTACCTTCAAAGTACTCTCTGATGCAATACACTGATTGAGATGCTTTTTCCATTGCTCAAAACAGTTTTTGAGCTAGTCAATTTTGATGCCATTGCATATTTCGACTGCTTTTTGTTTCATCTCCTCCATTTCAGAAAATCTTTCTCTTTGAGGACTTTTTTTCATCTAGAGAAAAAAAAACAAAACAAAAAAGTTGCTTGGGATGAGAGCAAGTGAGTAAAGAGGGTGAGACATGGGGGTCCTGCTGTTTTTAATCAAAAACTGTTAACCCAAACTTTACCTATACAATGACCACTAATCCTGAATTGTATCCCATATCTTTAAAATAAAAAAAGTTTTAAAAAACCCCCCAAAACTGTTGAACAGTCAGTGCAGTGAGGGCAGGTGCACTTGTAAATCACCCATCACGCAATGGCCAAATCCGTTGAAAGAATCTCCAAAAAAAGTTCATGGAAGCCAAATAACAACACTAGTTGGTACACTGATGCCGATGGATTCCTAGAACATTTCCCTAGTGGGGAAAGCCTCTGCCACAAAGGGCCTGCTCTCCAAAAGACTATTCTGGGTTGTTTTTTTTTTTAATACCCCTCATCTGTGTTTTATTTACTACCATTTATCATACAAAGAAACTAAGTGACAGGATTGTTAAATATTTTGTCTAAGATCACATGGCTGGCACACACTCACATGTTGTAATATTAATAACCATTTTTATGGTTATTATTTGTAGTAGTGGTGAAGTTTGCAGCTATTCCTTGGAGTCTTAACTGGGAATCAGCAAAGAGTTATCTTTCAGATGGAGGTAACTACATACTTCTGATCTAGTAAAATGTCCTGACCCTTCACCAGCACTAAGCACACAGATTTAGCTCAGTAGGATTCCATGCAAACTAATTAACCACATGCAGTGAGATTACACGCCTCTCTTGCAGCGTTGCTTGCTCATTGATTCCTCTCTGGTGCCCTTCCCCTGTGGGTTGGAGGCGCCTAAGGAACACCTGGAGACAGACAATACCTTTTTGCTTATTTAAGGGAACCACCATGGTGATGCTGTGTACAGAAATCAGAAGTCAGAGAGGATGCTTGGTGCAGACACGTTGAGTGCGAGGCACCAGCTGGATGGGCGATGAGACTGGTCCAGCCAGAGTTGCTTGGGGCCAGGCCAGGGACCTGGATCTCAGTGGATGTGTGCAGTGGAGGGAGTGATGGAGCCACATTCATGGATGATGCCAAAGGAGAGCAGAGCAATGCACAGTGCCTGACTTGGCACGTGGCCCATAGTGGACATTCTGTGAATCTTGGCTAGCTGCATGAATAACAGAAGACTCCCTGTGTGCTTCCAGAGCCTGTGCCTGGCACTTCATCTACTGAAATTTCGTTACTATTGTCATCATCACTGTTTTATGGACCAGGCTGCCAAAACTCTGGGAGGTGAAGTCCTGTACCTGCTTTCACCACTGTGCTGCTGCAGGTCTTAGTCTCTGTCCTGTATGCTGCTGTGGTTCGCCCAATGGTTATGTTCAGTGTTCTCTCTCTAATGCTCCATAAATGCACACCAGCTCTCTAGGTGTAGCTCGAGGGCCTCGATGTCCCCAATCCACCCCATCTTTTTTTGTCTCAGATAACACTCTCCCTCCTTCACCTTATTTTTGCTAATGTAGTCCGTCATTGGATTTGAGTAAATTGAGGTTGGACTTCTGCTTCCAAGTTGCTTAAATTAGCTGCCTGAATGACAAGGTGCATCATAGCCCATGGAAAGCGTACGTTCAATGGGGACTTTAAAATATGAGATCCCATCTACCCTAAGTAAACTGTGAGCGTCATAAGTTTATTGCCTGATTCACCTTTGAATTCCAAAGATGCTGTTATAGTGAATCACACACTCGAGTTGAATCAGATGCACTGTTACTGCCTGTCTCCTACTGCCTGTGGATTTGACCAGCTTCAGCCACCATGACTAGGGATTCACAGTTAAGCTTCACTCATCTTTGGATTCTAGGGTAGCATATCGACCAGCTTGCTGAGAACTAGGCAACCTTAGAGTTATGCCAAGTCAACGAAATATATGGGGTGTGTTTGGGGTGTGTTGTCATGACCTGATCAGATAATTGAGACAAAAGAAAAGAAATGCTGTGTGGAAAGAGACATAAAATAACACGCAGCTCTTTTTCATTCTTAAAAAGGTGTTTTTGATGCTTTTGCAAGATTCCAACCTGAAATCGCACATTGCTCCAGGAACCAAGTCAGAGCCACAGAACCATAGGCCTGCAGGACGTCCTCCCGGCTACCGTAAGTACAGGCGACTTCCTGCATTTTCCCTGAGGAACAGTGCCACTGTCTCTCTTCAGTGTCCCTTGTTTTTAAAAGCTGAGTAGCAAGCTACTGAAGCCAGAAATGAGGTGTGAGTGGATAGTGAGGGGGCGTAAGTAAATACAGGTCAGAGGCAGAAAGTTTCAAGTTTTATCCTGGTTTGAAAGGACCAACTGAGTATTTATGAGACATATTGACTTTTCTTTAGAACTTGACTTAGTATGTAAAACATTTCTTAGTACATACAATTAGAAGAATGAAAAAACATTCCTCTTGTTTTGCTTTCATCACCAGCCAATCCGGCCTACATTCACAGCGTGTTTATTACATGCAGGCACTCTGCTGGGAGTGGGCTGATGTGGCTTAAGAAACCGCCAGATGTGGGCCTTGCCGTCACAGAACCTCTGTCCACTGGGGCCAAAATCACGGTCCTGGCCCTTGTATGCCAACCTCCTTTGCTTCGGCAATAACATGTGGACAGAATCCAGACTTAGTTTCTAGGTGTGGGACGGCAGCTCAGATTTAATCCAGTTCCTAGCATATTTATTAGCAACAACTCACCAAGGAACTCTGAGCCGGGCTCTAGGGATATGGAGAGTAATCCATCCAGAACCTACCTTCAGAGACTGAGTCCACTAGGGACACAGACCAGGAATAAATAACTAGAATTAAACATGTGATAATGCTTACACTAAATGTCTGTCAGACTGCAACCTCGCCAGCACTAAGGAGTGCTACAGTTACCCTACGTCCTCTCTAGCACTTGGTATTATCAGAGTCCAAAAATATGTATTTTATCATTAAGATTGGTGTGTAGTGGTTTCTTATTGTGGTTTTAATTTGCGTTTCCCTCATGATTATGCTAAGCATATCTTCTTTCTCTTTTTCACAGTTTTATTAAGATGTAATTCATATACACCACACAATTCACTCAATCAATGTGTGCCATTCAATGACTTTTAGTGCATTCAGAGTTGTACATCATCATAACAATCAGTCTTAGACTATTCATTATTCTGAAAAGAAACTCCATGTCACTCAGCCATCACGCCTCGATATGCCCCTCCTTCCAGCTTTGGGTAACCTCTACTGTACTTCCTATTTGTATAGATTAGCCTAATGTAGACATTTTCTATAAATGGAATCATAATCTGGGTGGTCCTTTGTGATTAGCTCTTTCATTCTGCACAATGTTCTCAAGGCTCATCTGTATTAGAGCATGTGTCAGTACTTCATTTCTTTTGATTTCCAAATAATACTCCGTTGTGTGAATATACCACATTTTGTTGGGGCATTCATCAGTTGATGGCATTTGGGTTGTTTTCAGTTTTTGCTATTGCAAGCAGATTGTTATGAGCGTTTTTTGTGGGTATGTATTTTCTCTTATGTATATACCTAGGAGTGAAATTGCTGGCCCTATGTTTAACCATCTGAGTAACTGTCACAAAGTATCTAAAGTGACTACACCTTACATGCTCATCAGCTGTAGATGAGGGTTCGAATTTCTCTGCATTCTCCCAACACTTGTTATTATCTATGATTTTGATTACAGACAACTTGGTGGATATGAAGTGCCTTCTCATGGTAGTTTTGTTTGCATTTCACTGATGGCTAACGACGTTGAACATCTTTTCATGGACTTAATGGCCACTTGTATATCTTTTTTAGAGAAATGAATATTCAGATCTTTCATTATAAAAATTGGAAATGTTTTATTTCTGGAGCTGTAAGAAATTTCTAGTTACGGAACTATGAGAGTTAAGTATAATATTAACTGAGAGTTTTTATAAACTCTCTTTATTAAGCTAAGGAAGTTCCTGCCTATTCCTAGTTTAGGAGTGTTTTTATCACGAAAGGTGGTTGGATTTTGCCAAATGCTTTCTCTGCATCTATTGAGATCATGTCATCTGCAGAAATAATTTTATTTTCTCCTTTCCAATTTGGAAGACTTATTTCTTTTTGTTGCCTAATTCTTTGGCTAGGGCTTCCAGTACTATCTTGAATAGAAGGTGAAAATGGGATTCTTTGTCTTGTTTCTGATCTTAGAGGAAACATTTTTATTTTTTCACTATTGAGTACAATGTTGCATGTGCTTTTCATAAGTACATTTTACTATGTCAAAGTAATTTCTTTTTATTCCTAGTTTTTTGTGTATATTTTGAGTTGGAGTTTCACTCTTGTTACCCAGGCTGGAGTGCAGTGGCATGCTCATAGCCGCTGCAGCCTCCACCTGCTGGGCTTAGGTGATCTTTCTGCCTCAGCCTTCCAAGTAGCTGCCCGGCTAGTTGTGTGTATGTGTGTGTGTGTGTGTGTGTGTGTGTATGAATTACTGTAGAAATGAGGTTTCACCAAGTTGCCCAGGTAGGTCTTGAACCCCTGGGCTCAGGCAATCCTCTCACCCTGGTCTCCCAAAGTGCTAAGATTACAGGCTGAGCCACTGCGCCCAGCCTATTTCTAGTTTTGTTTTTTTTTTTATAAGTGTTTTTATCATAAGAAGATGCTGAATTTTCTGCATCAATTGAGATGACTATAAGGTTATTTCTCTTTCAACCTCAATATGGGATGTTACTTTTTTTTTGCATGTTGTACCATTTTTACATTCCAGGGATAAATCATTTGTCATGGTATATAAAATATAATAATAAAAATATATAATAATTTTAATACACTATTGAATTTGGTATGCCAGTATCTTGTTTATCTTGTTTATAGTTGTTATATCTTCTTGATGAATTGATTTCTTTATATAAAATGGACAAACAAATGTCCTTCTCATAACTGCTTTCTACTTAAAATTTATTTTGTCTGATATTTGTATAGCAGCCCTGCTCTCTTTTGGTTACTATTTGAATGAAATATTTTTTTTCCTGTCCTTTTACTTTTAAATTATGTGTATCCATAGACCTAAAATATGTCTCTTGTAGAGATCATTGAATTATGGTTTTTTTTCCATCAATGTTGCCAATCTATGTCTTTTGTTTGGAGAGTTTGATCCATTTATATTTAACATCATTCCTGATGGAGTAGCACTTATTTTATCATTTTGTTACTTGTTTCTCATGTCTTACAGATTTTTAATCCTTTTTTCCTCTAATACTGAAATTTTTGGAATTACATATTTGGATTCTCTTTTTACTTCATTCTATGTGTATTCTGTAGATATTTTATTTGTGCTTAGCAAAGGTTTACATATAATATCATAAAGTTCTGATTATCTTAAATTAATACTACTGTAACCTCAATCACATATAAAAACCTTAGATTTTTTTACGGCTCTGCCTCATCCACTTTATGAATGTCACAAATTGTGTAATCATTGGCACATGTTTAAAGTCATTCTTACGCATTTGACTTTTAAATTCTGTAGAAAATAAAAGTAGAGTACAAAGCAAAACTATAATAATACCTATTTTTATTCGTCCATGCACTTGCCTTTATCAGATAACTTTTTGTTTTCATATGTTTTTGAATTATTGTCTGGCATTCTTGTATTTCAACTTAAAAGATTCCCTTTAGCATTTCTTATAGGGTAGGTCTATGTGTAATGTACTTCCTGAAGTGTTACTTATCTGGAAATGTCTGATTTCTCCTTTGTTTTTGTTTTTTTTTTTTTTGAGTTGGAGTCTCACTCTGTCAGCCAGACTGGAGTGCAGTGGCTGCTCCCGGACACCACAGCCTCGACCTGCTGGGCTCTGGCAATCCCTCCGCCTCAGCCTTCCAAGTAGCTGGAACTACAGGCGCGCACTACCACACCTGGCTAATTTTTTGATTTATTGTAGAGATGAAGTCTTGCCAAGTTGCCCAGGCGGGTCTCAAGCCCGTGGGTTTGGGCAATCCTCTCATCTTAGCCTCCCAAGGCGCAGGATTACAGGCTGAGCCACTGAGCCCGGCTTTCCTTTGTTTTTTTTAAGGACGTTTATGCTGTATATAAAATATCAGTTTACAGGTTTTTTTTTTTCTATGATCACTTTAGAAGAGACACTACTGTCTTCTGGTGTGCAAGCCTTCTCCTGAGAGATATACTGATAGTTGTATTGGGATCCCTTGTACATTGTGAGTCTCTTTTTTCTTGATACTTTCAAGATTGTCTTTTTTTCTTTGGCTTTCAGTACTTAGTTTATAACTATGTCTTGGTGTAGGTCTCCAGGTTTCTCTTACTTGGAGTTACCGAGCTTTTTTATTTGTATATCCATGAGTGTCCTCAAGTTTGAAAAATTTTCTGCCCCTTTACTGCTCTCTTTTCCATTTGGAAATTTCATAATGCATATATTGATCCACTTGATATTTTCCCCTAAGTTCCTTGGGCTCTATTCATTTTACTATGTCGTTTTTTTGTTTTTTTTTTTACTTTATGCTACAGGCCCCAATAATTTCACGATTTGCTGATTCTTTCTTCTGTGTAATCAAGTCTATCTTTGAATTATTCTAATAAAGTTTTCTATTCAGTTGTATTTTTCGATATTCCAGAATTTGTTTGGTTCTTTTGTTGTTGTTGCTGTTACAGTTATGATTTTCATTTATTTGTTAATAATCTCATTTGTTTTATATATTGTTTCCCTCATTTCTTTTAGTTCTTTATTCATGCCTTCCTTAGCTTTTTGAAATAATTTAAAATGATATAAAAATTTTTAACTTGTGTATTTTAAGAGAATCTGGACATTATTTTGCTTCTTTGAACAGGTCAGGTTTTCCTTTTTTAAAAAATGATTATTTGTTGAAAAATGGGCATTTGATAAAACAGCCACTTCTTCCCATCTTTGCACACTGGTGTGGAAGACCTTTGCTAGTTAGTGATTCTCTGAATCCTGAGATGAGACGGGGATAAAGGCTTTGGGTCTTCAAAGTTCCTTTCTGGGCATGTGTCCTGTATGGGCCTCTGAAAATGTGTGCATTTTTTTCTTCTAATTTTCCTTGGCTACTATTTTTTCAGAAAAGTATTTTGATTTTGAATACTTATAAAATATGTATTACTTTACTATATGT